AGTAATCCTGTTTGATAGCTTCACCAGGTTTAGGTATGCCTGGTGTTGCTCCTGGCCCTCCACTCTCTCCATTGGACCAGGGCTGGTTGCTTGACTTGGTAGTAATGGTTGAGTGGGGAATATGCCGGGCCATGAGGTTACAGTTTGTGCTGGAGCACAACGCTGCTGCTATTGATGGCCCACATGCTTCATAGATGCCCAGTCTTGAGTTCACAGTCTATCCCATTTAGCAAAATGATAGTACCACACAAATTGATGGAGGGTTTCTGCAATGTGAAGGTGGCATTTTGTCTCCCAAAGGCACTGAAGTCACCCAGTTGGGATATGTCCTGTGCCCTTTCTGCCGTCAGTGCTTCTTTCAACATGGAGCAACACTGATTCATCAACTGAGCTGGTGGGGGATTGTATGTGGTAATCAATAGGAGGTATGCTTGCCCATGTTTGACCTAATGACATGAGACTTCGTGTGATCAGAGTCAATATTGAGGATGCCCAGGGCAATTCCCTCCCAACTGTATACCACTGTGCTGCCACCACTGCTGGCTCTGTCCTGCCAGTGGGACAGGACATATCCAGGGATGTGATCATGTGTGTATCTGTGATTCTGTGAGTATGACTATGTCTAGGCTGTTGCTTAACTAGTCCATGAAACAGCTCTCCCAACTTCAGCACTAGCCCCAAGATACTAGTAAGGATGATTTTACAGAGTCAAGGGGACTGTTTTTGCCATTATCTTTATGGTGCCTAGGTCAATGCCAGGTGCTATGTCTGGCTTCATGTTCATTTTTAGACTTTCCAGCAATTGCTACAATTGAGCAGCTTGCTCAGCTATTTCAGAAGACAGTTAAGATTCTTTGTTGTGGGTCTGGAGTCCCATGTAGACGAGACCAGGTAAAGGTGGCAGATTTCCTTCCCTAAAGGACTTTACTGAACCAAATTCAATTTTGCAAGTCATTAGATTTTTAATTCCAGATTTTTACTGAATTAAAATTCCACCATCTGCCATGGTAGGATATGAACCCAGGTCCCTGGAACATTACCTGGGTCTCTGGATTGCTAATACAGTAACAATACCATGACAGCATTGCCTCCAACCTTGCTCTTTTCTTAAATTCATTTATGGTGTGCGGGTATTGCTGGCTGGGCCAGCATTTATTGCCCAACCCTAGTTGCTCTTGAGAAGGTGTTGGTGAGCTGCCTTCTTGAGCCACTGCAGTCCACGTGTTGTAAGTAGACCCACAATGCCGCTAGGGAGGGAGTTATAGCTTTTTGACACAGTGCCATTGAAGGAATGGTGATATATTTCCAAGTCAAGATGGGGATTGATTTGGATGGGAACTTGCAGGCAGTGGTGTTCTTGTGTACTTGCTGCCCTTGTCCCTCTAGATGGAAGTGGTCATGCGTTCAAATGACACTTATCATTGTGCAATCATCTGTGAACATCCCCATTTCTGATCTAATGAAGAGGGAAGTTCATTGATGAAGCAACTAAAGATGGTTGGACCTAGGGCACTACCCTGAGGAACTCCTGCAGAGATGTCCTGGAGCTGAGATGACTGACCTCCAACAACCACAACCATCTTCCTATGTGCCAAGTACGACTCCAACCAGCAGACAGTTTCCACCTGATTCTCATCGATTCCAGCTTTGTTAGGCCTCTTCGATGACAGACTCGGTCAATGTGGCCTTGATGTCAAGGGCTGTCACTCTCATCTCACCTCTGGAATTCAGCTCTTTTGTTCATGTTTGAACCAAGGCTGTAATGAGGTCAGAAACTGAGTGGCCCTGGTGGAACCCAAACTGGGTGTCACTCAGCAAGTTATTTCTGAGCAGGTGCTGCTTGATAGCACTGTCGATGACACCTTCCATCACTTTACTGATGACCAACAGTAGACTGATGGGAGGTAATTGGCCGGGTTGCATTTGTCCTGCTTTTTTTTCTATACAGGACATACCTCATAAATTTTCCACATTGTTGGGTAATGCCTGTATTGTATGTATACTGAAACAGCTTGGATAGGGGAGAGGCAATTTCAAATGCTTCAGCCTTATGGTTACACTGATGCATTGGTCTCCCCAATTATTGAGGATGGGGATATTTGTAGAGCCTCCTCCTCCAGTGAGTTGTTTAATTGTCCACCACCATTGAGGTGATAGGACTGCAGAGTTTAGATCTGATCCATTGGTTGTGGAATCACTTAGCTCTGTCTATCAATTGCTGTTGTTTGACATGCAAATAGTCCTGTTTTGTTGATCCACAGATTGACATATTATTTTTAGGTATGCCTGATGCTGTTCCTGGCATGCCTTCCTGCACTCTCCATTGAACGAGGATTGATCCCCTAGCTTGATGCTAATGGTTGAATGGGGAATAACCTAAGCCATTAGATTGCAAATTGTGCTGGAGTACAATTCTGTTGCTGTTGATGATCCACGGTGCCTCATGGATGCCCAGTCCAGAGTTGCTAGGTCTATTTGAAGTCTATTCCATTTATCACAGTGACAGTGCCACACAACATGATGTGAGATATTCTCAATGAGAAAGTGGGACTCCATCTCCAAAAGGATTGTGCGGTGGTCAGTCTTACCAATACTGTCATGGACAGATACATCAGTGGCAGGCAGATTGGTAAGGATGAGGTCAGGTAAGTTTTTCCCTCTCATTGGTTCCTTAACCACCTGCTGCAGACCCAGTCTAGCAGTTATGTCCTTTAGGACCTGACCAGCTCTATCAGTAATGCTGCTGCTGAGCTATTTGTGGTGGTGGAGACTAAAGTCCCCCAATCAGAGTACCTTCTTCACCCTGCCACCCTCAGTGCTTCCTCCAACTGTTGTTCAACATGGAGGAGCACTGATTGGCTAACCCACCTAATCTTCATATCTTTGGACTGTGGGAGAAAATGGAGCACCCAGAGAAAACCCACACAGATGGGTATGGCAACTGCTCTGCCCCAGACCGCAAGAATTTACAGAGAATCACAAACCAGCCTTTCATCCATTGACTCTGTCTATATATCCCACTGCCTTGGGAAAGCAGCCAAGATAGGGTGATCCCTCTCACCCTAATTACACTCTCTTCCACATTCTTCTATCAGGTAGAAGATACAAAGGTTTAAAAACACATACCAACAGATTAAAGAACAGGTTCTTCTTCGCTGTTATTAGACTTATGAACGGACCTCTCCTCTCTTAGAGTTGATCTTTCGCTGTAGCTGTAACACTGTATTCTGCATTCTGTTCTATTGCCTTGATGTATTTATGTAAGGTAATCTTTGTTTGGTTAGCACCTAAAACAATACTTTTCACTGTATCTCAGTACATGTGACAATAATAAATCAAATTAGACACGGGGAGAATGAGCAAACTCCACACAGACATTTGCCCAACACTGGAATCAAACCTGGACCCTGGTGCTAGGAGGCAGCAATGCCAACCATTGTGCCACTGGTCAATACAGCTGTTTCTACCATCGGTGATTCTGGTGCTTAGGTTGCTATGAAATGGCTCACCCGGTTACATTCTCTTTTTGAGACTTTCTGGTGATTGATTCCACTCAGCTGCTTGCTAGGTCATTTCAAAGGCAGTTAAGAGTCAACCATATTGTTGTGGGTCAGGATTCACATGTAGGCCAGGTCAGGTAAGGATGGCAGATTTTTTTCCTTAAAGGGATGGGGTTTTTGAACAATCAGTAATGGTTCCATGATCATTAGACTTTTAATTCCGGGTTTTTTACTTACATTAAAATTCCACTTTCTGCTGTGCTGGCGTTCAAACCCAGGTGTGCCAGACCTTTCCCTGGATTTTGAGTCAGTGACAATACCATTAGGCCATCACCTCTTCCACGTGGGTGGCATCTCTCTTTGTCTCTCTGTGGTGCAATCTGTCTCTCTCTGTCTTTCTCCCTCTCTGGGTGGATTTGTTTCTCTCTCTCTGTGCTCTCTCAGTGGATACTCACCAACTGTCACTGTAGGTAGAATCTTTCACACTGTGCCTGTGAGTGAACTGCTCCAGTCACTCGCTGGTTGGATTCTATCTTAGATTCTCTTTCTGTGGGACACCTTTCTTGATGTGGATTCCATTTCTCTTTCTCTCATTCTTCGTCTTTCTATGGGTAAACTGTCTGACTATCCCCCGCCCTGTTGATTTACTGTCTGAGGGTATGTATGTATGCATGTGCGTGGATTCAGTCTGTGTGTGTGTGTGTGTGTGTATGTATGTGATTGAGCGGATTCTTTGTGTGTGTGGATTCTGTGCGCATGTGTGTGTGAATGGATTCTCTCTCTGCATGTGTGTGTGTGTGTGTGAGAGAGTGTGAGTGGATTCTGTGTTTGTGTGTGTGGTTGAGTGTGAGAGAGTGTGTGTGTGTGTGTGTGTGGATTCTCTGTGTGTGTGTGGATTCTCTGTGTGAGTGTGTGGATTCTGTGTGCGTGTGTGTGAGTGGATTCTCTCTCTGCATGTGTGTGTGTGTGTGTGTGTGTGGATTCTGTGTGTGTGTGTGTGGATTCTGTGTGTGTGTGTGCGTGTGGATTCTGTGTCTGTGTGTGAGAGAGAGAGTGAGGATTGTGTGTGTGTGTGAGAGAGAGAGGATTGTGTGTGTGTGTGTGTGAGAGAGAGAGGATTGTGTGTGTGTGTGAGAGAGAGAG